GAACGATGAGTGTCCATCAATTGGGTCAAAACCGGCTGTAGATCAACAAGAAGACTGGAACCATGTACATGCCACCGACGAGCAAGTTTGCGAAGTTGCGTAGTGAAACGTTGATGTAACAAGTCGACATCACCGAAATACTGATCCTTCATCGACGCGGCCATGATTTCTATGTCAATGTCCGCGTTGATGCGTGAAAACTCATCAATCATTACAGCGTGTCCATGCGCTCGGTGTATATGGTGATCATCGAAATCCAAACAACGACACGGAAAGGAGGCTTCAGGAGTCCATCTGCACTGCCATGTGCGGTAGTTGTAGATCTTGTCGCCCAATGTGGCACTGCGAGTTTCCACCACCCGGATCTTTGGAAGGAAAAGGGAGGGAAACAAATCACGATGAGAAGCAATCCAGCTTTGTAACCATGTGCCAAGTTGAGCTTTCCAATTCCGGACATGTAGAGGCGGTAGAAGTAGTTGTGTCAAAGTAGTGGGGGAATGTAGCCGTCGTTTGCGCAACACCTGGGCGAGGAGTTTCTGTGCCTTAGAGCGAAAGGGCTCGTTCACAAAGACGGAGAGCCGCAGAAAGTAGTAAAGTTGAGTAGGAGGGAAAGCTGCCGACAGAAGGTCACGCATAACTTGGAACGATGCGCCTGTATTGGATCCTAGCTGATAGATAATGGAGTAATGGGCCTGAATGTCGTCCAGCATGTCGGGTCGTAGTTGCCGTTGGTGATCTGGATGTAGTCGTCTTCGAAAACGTTTGTGCAAACCGAGGGAAGTGGGAGACGACAATGAGTGACGTCGAAAATCAACGAGATGTTCCCGGAAGCCCACCTTTCGAAGAAGTCTGTGTACTCAGGGTGCATTCAGATGTGGGCGTAGCAAGTATTGCCACTTGCTTTCCTGGACCCAAACCGAGGAAACGGGAAGTTTGATCTCGACCGGAATAGCGCAGAAGAGCCAGTAAGTATTGGATCGCCTCCAGTAGTGGAGCGCGGGTTCGAAGCAGGCATGACGTCCCCGAAGTAGTTGTAGAAATTTGCGACTGCGTGAGTGTTCACGACGAAGAACATCCTGATCAGTCGCACCCACGTAGTAAGGTGTGTGCCATGAGGAAAGGCGGATGTAGACGCACGGTTGTTGATGATGGCCTGGATCGTGAATGAAATCATAGAGGTCCGGAAACCGTGCCCGCAATGAGCGAAGATGTCGCGTGTCGGCAAAAGTGGAGTGCATAATTTCACACAAGATAGTGGTCTTGTAGAAGTGAAGGACCTCAAAGAACGGCGGAAAGTAGCCATGATCTTGGGTAATGAGACGTTGCAAGAAACTGATCAATAAATAAGCCGTGCACCGACATCTGTGAAGCTCATACCTGTTGGCCCCAGTGTGTTGAGAGTGTGACATAGCGGAATTCGGAATCTGAAGGGCAATCCGGACCACAACTAAGACTTCCAGAATGAGGCCCAACCACGGTAGTTGTGTGATTGATTCGTACTCATCAGCTGGTATCGACGGTGGTGGTAGTCCAGGGAAGCAGTATTGCCAGCACGTAGAGAACAAGGTCAACGAGTGTAAAAAGTTCTCCAGAGACTGCCATTGTGCAACATCATCATAGATTCCGCAGCGGCGAAGCTCAGCCAACATGATGGTAATGCAACCAATGAAATCTACCATGAGGCGGCGACATGGATGCAAGCTGCACAGACAATCACGCACAAGGCAATGCAAGCGCAACCAAGCACAAGATCAAACTAAAGCAACGCACAAGGATGACGGACGAGTTTTAGCCTGACTCATCCGTGACACGGTTGCCACTCCGGGCCCATAATAGAACGAAGATCGTCAAAATGCCAGCTCATCCACTGAGTAAGCGAGCGGTCACGATGAGGTGACTCAACGCCTTCTCAGTGAGCTTGGTGAGATAGCCGGGCTCCAGTCCCCACGAAGCCGCCATTGCCCTGGGGGTGGGAGCCGCCTTTCGGCACGCGTTGACGCGCCTGAAGGAGCTGCGTCGCCATGGAATCCAATGACTTGTTGCCGTTGAGCCTGGACGGGTGGTTGGCCCACTTGATCAGGGACGTCAAAGTTGTGGTTGTGGGCGATTGCTTGAGATACAGGCGCGGCTGGTCACTGGTCCATGTGTAGTACTTGACAACTTCCTCCGGCGTGCTGTGCATGGTGAGCAATTGCGACGACGCCGGCTTGGATGGCGGTGAGGACACTCCGTGAAGAGACTGAATGATCCGAGGCTGCGCCGCGCTATCAAACGACTTGCCATCAAGGGCTGCTGCACTGGCCGTAGGGAGAGAGCTGGCAAGTGACGAGGATTGGGTGTGGTTGACCGGTGGTGGTGTGACCAACTCTGCATCATCTTTCTGGTTTGCCATCGTGGGGGAGGTCGAAGCGCGAAGCGATGCTGAAAACTGAGCCTGGAGTAGTTCATGCGCACGATTTAGATCATTGTACTTCTTGACCATGTCATCAGTCTGGGTAGAAGGCGTGAGAGAGGCGTGATGTTGCTGAAGAAATTGAAGTACCAAGCTGGCTAAATGGTCATGAACCTTGATCCGCTGATTGAAGTCATCGATGTTGAGCCCAGCGAACTGGCAAGGTCCTTTTCCAGGGTGAGCAGGTTGATCGACTGTGATCGTCGTAGTAGTTTGGAACAGGTACGCCTCGGTGCGAGTGCGAAAGCCTTCCCACGTCACGAATCTGCCGTGAGCAAACGGTCGAAGCAGCCAGTTGGTGAGGCCCCCGTGAATAACCTGAACCAGGCGAACATCACGAATATCCATACCTGACATGTCGCGCTGGTTGCCATGCGGAGTGTTGGCAACGGTCATGGGCAGGCTGAAGTTGTAGAGCTGATTGACATCAAACATGCCATCTCCAGGTGTCCAGTCAGGTGATGGTGTAAGCCAGGCTTTCTGAGGACGAACCGGTAGAGCCGCAGGAGGTCCAGGTGGTGGTGCAGGTTGCGAGGTAGTGACCGGTGGTGGCATCACGGGTGGCATGAACTTCGTTGGCGTGGGGTCTGGAGGTATCGGCATCATGTAGTTGAGAACAGGATGTTGGAATTGCTGTGTGGGACTATGAGTCGATTGAAAATTGGTGGGCATCATCGGGAAATTGTTGCCGGAATTGTGTTGCCAAGATATGAGGTTGTTCCAATCCATGCCCTCCGAGACGTGGTGGTCATTGTGTTCACGTCGGTGTGCTTTACGAGCTTGAGGAGAAGGGCTCCGATCTCGTCTGCGCCGAGTCCTGGATCTATCACGGTCATCACGTCGAGACATGGTTACACAATCGACACTCAATCTTCACGCTTCCACCTTGAGAGACACGTATCAGACAACAAACGGCAAGGTATCAGCAATCCGAAGTGAATCCGACAAATGGCAAGTAAACGCAAACATCGGTGGTGAGACGTCTCTATGATCTGACGGCTGTCTTCCCTTTAGTGAAACCTCGTTCCTGGTTAAATCTGAAATTCCGCTGTTCTATGATAAGCACGTTGAGGTCAAATTTTCCGACAGAGCCGGCCCGGGGTCACACAATGGGTACACCCGAGGATTCCCCACGAATGGGGTGTACACACTTAAACTCCAGATGGAGAGTGCTAATCTTTCGAGTACAACTGATGAGTCTCGAGTACAACTGATGAGTCTCGAGTGGGTGTGGGTTCAGCTCGCAATGCACTCGGTTTCACTCTAGTGTCGAAAACGTTACCAGTTCCAACATGAAGCACACACAGCGAGCGAAAAGAGAGGGCCAAAAGGACTTTCATCAACATCACTTCACAAACGCAGGTACACACGGGTGATCAATCCGTGCATCCACCATCAAGCATAGCTTCGTTGGCCAGCGTTTGCTTGATGGCCGCTGGCCCCCTGCTGAGAAACCTAAAAGGTGGTGACAGGGCATTCTGTCACTCCGCACACACACACACACACACCACCAATACACAGGCAGGGGACATGGACGGACTGACAGACAGAGACGGACTGACAGACAGAGACGGACAGGCAGACAGGCAGACAGGCAGACAGGCAGACAGGCAGACAGGCAGACAGACAAACAGGCAGACAAACGACCAGGCAGCCAGGCAGCGAAAGAGAGACAGAGACAGAGACAGACACAAAGACGAAAACGACACAGTCAAAGGCACCGACACAGACAGACACAGGCACCGACACAGACACAGACACAACAAACCGACACACAGACAAACAGACACGCCAATCAAGCAATTGGAGTTTGCGGACAATACTGAAGCTGCATGTTTGCCATTGAGCAACCGTGACGCATCGGCAAAAACCTCATAAGAAAAGAAAAGACCCGCATCTCTATGACCCTATATTAATGTACTGTGTCTATGCAACTGTCTTAGAAGGATACTTGGTATGCGCAGCTCCAGCCAAATTGCCATGGGTCGTTGACAAAAAATGCCACTTCACCCGCAGGGAGCGTTCCAAACAGCATTTGAAGGCAAGCTTCAAATCAAATGAGAGCCTTTTGCTGGTCATGAGATTGTCAGAGACGCGCTGCGCTGTTTGATGCTGATGGAAGTCCTTTGCTGGCCTGCTCCCTCAGAACTTGGTACGTGGAAGAAGCCCAGGAGGGACATGGAAACTGGGGAATTCCACCTGTTGTTCCAAAGACTTGCCGCTTGCCGCCTTTTGTTGCGGGGTGACGGGGCTTGTTTGCTGCTTGCCTGTGACAGTCAGACCTTTGAACAAACAACATGCAACTTGCAACTTGCTAGTGTTTACTCTTGGAGCTGACAAGAAATTAATGTTATGTCTAGTGCTTTTGCGGGGACCTTTCATAGGTCTTGACAAAATCAGCAAGCATAAATTGTGGCATCCGCTACAGTACTCAGCCTATATCCTTGTCTTTCAAGCAAACCAAAAGGACTTCAGCCTTAATGCATGAAAGATCCACGCAGGTAGCCCAGTTGGGAACTGGGCAGGCCCACAGCTCCAGGGCCCTGGCAGTGTGGCAGGTGCAGCTGACGGGCTCGCCCGCGCTGCATGACGCTTCGACCCAGCCAGATTTGTAGCTGCCACTGCTTACCTGCCACGCCGAGGATGACCAACAAGACGACTGGCCGCCGGTTCCCAAAGTACTGCATGGCAACCCTCAGGCCCTGCTGCTCTCAAACTCGCATTGCTCTCTGCATCTCCGAGAGCTGCATGCCTTGCCACATTACAGGAGTATTTACCAAGACTTCTCCCGCCTTTGGCTCCGTCTTCCATTTCCAGCACTCGGCCTTGGCTTTCACCTGGGTGTTCCCAGTTGTCCTGGCCTTGCGCGAAATGAACGCCCGGACCACAAAGGACGCGAGGTGCAACTAAATCCAACCAAACCTAGAGCTGTTTTGTGCAAAATTCGCAAAAGAAACTGCGCTCGAAGCGGGGCTCTTACGGGAGAAACGCACAGGTTCAATTGGGGCTCGCTCCCACCCTTTGACTGCTCAAAAAAAGAACTGATCATTGTGAAGGCCGCTGCTAAAAGGGCGCGGTGCTGTGTGGGTGCGAAGCGATAAGTGTGCATCAGAACGAAGCCTCGGACCATGGATATCTGCAGAGATCCGTCAAAAAGAGTTGCTGAATAAAGTCGCCCTTTTTGGGATTGGGGGCCGATGGCGCACCATCAAAATTTGAGTTTCGCTGCTTTGTCGCCCAAGTTTTCCGTGCCGGTCTGAGATACGGCTGCTCGTAAACACACTCAACAAAATAACATGGACACCAGCCCAGCAGAAGAAGCAGGCACCCTGAAGGTTCACTTGGCGAACCTACGAATGGACTTGGCGACGGTCTCCTGGGTACCCTTGGAGGCAAATGCAGACTTCAACCAGTCTAAACCAGCGCTTCCAGTCACATTTGGTGAAGTTTTTAACCCAAACTCAGAATCGGGCATGCTTGCAGGCAAATCGCAGGGCTCAACAATTGTCTTTCTTCAGGCCTTTGCGGCCCTTGTGTCAAAATCTGCCAATCCCGGCACACTGAACCCACTGCCAAACGTTGGCAAGAGACGATTTGCAAGCGTGTGGTTGAACCAAAGCTTTTGCTGAGTGCTAAACGAGCTCACTTCAGCGTGCGCGCTTACCATTTGTCTGCGCAGTGCTGAACGGGTGCACTTTGCGCCCTCCTCATTTGCCTGGCGCGCGCGAAGGGGTGAGCGGGTGCATTTGAGTGGACGCGCTTACCATTTGGCCGGAGTGTGCGCAGTGCTGAGCGGGTGCGCTTGAGCGGGCGTGCTTACACTTTGGATGGCGTGTGTGCGCCCTGCTGCCGTGGCCAAAACCCTGCAAACCATCGTGATATGTAAGCTGATACACTGTGTCACAAAATGCTGGCGCACCAGCAAATATGTGCCCGTGAATCACCATTCTATGGTGATTAAGCTTGTGGTTCGGCTCAAGCCCAACGTTCCCAACAAGGCCTGGTAAACAAAGAGAATGAAGACTTGATTTGAGTGTTAGAAAAGCGGTGGGCTGAAGAACCAGCTTCTCCGACCTTGTATGATAACTGTCCCTCCGCTGGCCTCGCACTTCTTGCCGCCATTGGTCACAAAGGTGCCATCACCCTTGTTCCGGGAATCCGTCCCCCAACCCCAGCGGCGGCGGCGCGGCGATCCGCGGCGGCGGCGTCGATGGCCTGCGTTGTTCAAAAGCGATTTGCACGGCGCACCTAGTGCAACTGCAAACGCCACCAAATACAAAGGGCCATTCAGGCCTCGCTTTCTTCCTTTTGTTTGACTTGCTTCTTTGATGTGCAGTTCCGTGTTTTGATATTACTGGAAAATGCCATATGGTGGTATTCCCACTTTGCAGCCACCAGTCACTTCAGCGCGCTCTTGGCCTCCAAACAGTCGTCCCCAATGCATCTAGATGTTTTAATGATTCAGTACAGTTGATCAACACTCAATGTTGTTGCACTGTAGAGAAAGTCAACTGAAATCATCGGCAGGTCAAGTGACATGTTCCAGCCTAGATCTCTTGATTCGCCGACCCAGCATTTCTTCACCTTGGTGCTTGGCCAACCCTTACAACGACCTCACCGTGCATCAGAACCCCTAGATCCCCAGCCAAACTTGGGGTTTCAGCTACATGCACTTACCGATGACAAGCGGCATTAGCAGAATCAGAAAAAGGTATGCCTCCATTTGGACATGTTCACCATTGTCACTTAAGGAGCTTTCCGGAACCAAGTACCATCTTCAAAACTCGATTGCTCTTGCATTGCAAGGGGTAGGCAACAGTTCGGCAATTCTCCGCAATTCCAAAACCCTAACATACAAAGCCCTAACTGGGCAGCCCACACAATGCATATGGGCAATTGCTCTTTGCACTGAAAGAGCTGAAAGGGAAGAAAAACTTTGATGCTATATCTCAAAAAGCAAACAGTATCCGTAGAACTTTGCCAACGAATCGCAGGATTGGCATTGGCTAAGTGCCCACTATTGGCATTTATGTTCCTGAACAGCACCTTCGTGACAAAAGCATCTAAGGCATCTAGCATACACACAAGCTGCACATGACACAACTGACATGACCTGACCTGCAATTCATCACAGCAACCTGGTCAAAGGCCATCAGTCTTGTTGAGCTGTGAAAGCAGGATCAAAGAAAACGTGCGCTCACGCGACAAAGCATATGGCTCGCTGATGTGCGTAAGAAGCGGCATAGTTGTTGCTGGGGCAGTTGACCTTGGATCCATTCGGCAAGGATTCTATTCAGCATGAGATCGCTGCACCCTGTGTCATGGAAAAAACATGGTTTGTCATGGCACATCCTCCTGTTTCAACTTGCCCAACCCTCGCACTGGCACTCTCAATGGAAGATGGTCTCCAACACTCATTCTGAGCGAAATGATATTGTCAACGAAGTTGTGGTCAAGTACATGCACAGTAGTGCAACGTTGTGACCCGCTGCTTCAATCATTTGATGATGACAAATCAGAACTCGAAGTGCCGAAGGCCCACCGCATGTTTTGTTGAACGATTCTGCACCAAAGTCAAGCTGGAAGCGTCCGCGTGGGACCCTTGATCTTGCCCTGCTCTGCCAGGCTGCCGAGGCGACGTTGTCATCGTTGCCACCAGACCAGCCAGATGTTACGGTGTGAATGGTCACCTTTCTGAGCGCATTTTGGCAGCAGGAGCATGTGACCAAATTACACACCACTCTATCAACGTCTAGCGCTCGGTACGAACCTTCGTAGACTGGCAAGCATGTGGAGTGGCTGGGCAAAGTTGACCGATTCGAGTTGACCGTGTCGTCCAAATCATATTGGCAAACAGCCTTCCTCACAGTCATGTCGCAATCCTGAGATTATGCGGCTCAGTCGCAGAGATATGCTGCTAAGGCTAGCTGAAATACAAACTGAGATCAAGGCAACCTTGTGAACTTCTCTCAGTCCTCATTCTATGAGGCTCTCATGAGTGAGATGCTCCTCGCATCAAACATGTAACCTTGAAAATGTTGTAGCGCAGGGCCAACAAGAAGAACATTTGCCTGAGTGAATTACTGAACCTGCAGCACATCCTGGCATCATCTTTTCGCCAGTGACGTGGGGCCGGCCCGCAATCTGAAACAAACATTTGAGCATGTTTGGCATTCTGCCTACAAACAGTGTCCTACTCTTCCTAAAACAATACAACTGAAGAATTAGCCAAGAATATCGGTACCAAAAGACAAGAATGTGTAAACGTTGCCAGCAGCATATCGAAGTGCGAACTTTCCGGCAATGCATGTTCCAAAAGATCGGCAAAAGAGCAAAGACTCTGACATTCACCCCATATTCACTCTAACTTGCTAACATGTTCTTGTGTCGAATAGAACAACTGTCAACTTGCTGGGCCTGCAAAACGAACAAAGCAATGCTGCCCATCTGTTGGCTGCAACCGTTTTCCTCTCCGAAGCACAAGCACATTGAGTTGTAGAGCAATGCTTGTAAAGCAAACACATGGTGGCTGTGTTGTAGGTTGGCAACGCGCGAGCCGCGCTTCCCCCCTAGGCCAGGCTGCCGAGGACTCGGTGCGGATCTCGTGGCTGGAGTAGTTGCTGAGATGGGGTGAGGGTGTGTGAGGGTGAGGGAGGGTGGGGCGTGGGGGCTTGGCTGAGGCCCGAACCCTCGCACGAAGCAACATGCAGAGCCAAAGGCACGTCGTGGAAAAGCCCAACGCCGCCTTTCGGAAAGGTCATCAAGATATTGTGACATTCCATTGTGACATTCCTACAATGGCTCTTCACGCCAAGGAAAACAACCTGCGTGTCATACTCAAGCGCTGAGCCGTCCACTTCTTTCAGACTTCCTTTAAGAAGTCCAAGACACAAGTTGGAAGGCCAAGCCAACCCGGCACGGCTTGCAAATCAGAATTGTAAACCTACAACAAACATTAGTCGATCAATTGGGATGCACCTTTGGCAGTGAGTTGGTTGTCAGTGGTGAAACAACTCTCTGGGCACAACTTCAAGTAAAGTTCAAATGTTGGGAACATCGCCATGCCATCAACATGCCCTTCGGCTGGTTCCTGCCAGCAAGATCTGAAAGAGGAAGTATGTGTGTGTGTGTGCCTTTGGTCCTGTACTGGTATTCGAGGCTTCTTGACATGATCCACTCTAGAACAGCACGACTAGCAAAGCAAAAGCTAGAACTAAGCAACCGTTGGCACTCTACTCACACCAGTTGAGTTTGCGAAAGAGCATTCCAATCCTGATCTTATCACACCCTTCTTGCCAAGCTGCCTCCCCTCGGCAGCGAGGCCCACTTCTTCATCCTGCAGGGCCCAATAAGACAACACATGCTTTCCGCAAACAAATGTACAAATAAATGCAAACCCCATCTGGAATTCGCGCGTCACATTGGTGGACAGTGGACAGTATGTCATCCTCGAACTCGGCGACGGTGACATTGTCGTGCTCGAACTCTTCGTCATGCTCATCTTGCGCTTGGTCAAGCTGATCCTGCGCATTGTCATGCTCATCTTGTTCGTCTTGTTCATCGGCGTCATGCTCATCGTCATGCTCATGAAGTTCGATCGTGTGGTTGGCCAGGCTGCTCTCCTGACACTGCTCGGTCAACACTACAGTTCCATGCTGAAGTGGTGCCGCTCGCTGAAACCCATTCTGCGATGATTATTTTGTCCTACAGAAGCAAGGCTGGACTCCAGCCTTGCGGCTGGAGGAAGATCCAACTGCTAAAAATATGAAGATAAAGAGTCCAGTCAAGCCACCAATGACTGCCCAACCTCAGGCCCCCTGATAAATCTCGGGACCAAAGGTTTGGTTTTGATACAATTCAGGTCATCACAAATCAGCATCGGGTGCTGGGGTGGACTTGACAGGTGCAAGTACAAACTGATCCATGATTACTTCATTCGCCTCAAGCCTTCACACAACGCTGCGTCGTCAACTCTTCTGCTCCCACCTTGAGGTTCGGTGACCGCCCACCGCCCAGTGTGCCTGCACAACTATCAGGCTCCCGTGCACAGCTCACAGATCCGGTTGACATACACAACGTGGAAACAAGTTTGCGCGGATTGGAGGTTGAACTTGGGTGTATACTGCATACATCTGGACTGGCCCCAGCACTAGACTGAAAACCGGGCAAACAAGCGCAGCAAGCTTGCCAGATTTCAAGACCAATGAAAAGACTAAAAAGCTTCTCGGCATCTTGTTCTGCTTGTTTCTCCTGCAAGACTTTAGCAACGCATGCAATCGCATACATGGTTGACTTACCTTGAACATTTGGGGCTCCAAGCTGAGGGTGCAAACCTATCACCTGTTCCAATTGTTCGTTCACGTATAAAGTGCGCGTTGCGGATGACTCCAGTACCACCAAAGAGCGCCATGCAAAAGTTGGGACTCTCTTTGCTCACGGGATGCGGCTAACCCAGCTGCCCGGTCGGGACGCGTTTTTATCGCATGGTGAGTCTGAGGGGCCCCAAGCTTCCTCTGCCAATAAACATGGCACCCCTCATCGGCTTGGGTCCGAAATCGGATGATTTCATCCAAGTGATGAAAGCGAAGCTCTTCATCTTCTCCATGGACCGAACTGCAGTGACTCCAGTGAAGTTTGCTGTAGTCCAAGCACTGCAGGCAAGTGCGTGCAAGGTTTAAAAGCAAGGGAACGGAGTCAAAGGCTCATGCTGCAACTGAAACTGTCACGGAATTGTCGGAAGTCCAATGCGCCAGTATGACAACTCATTGGTTTGAGGCCAACAACAGATCATTTCCAGGAACCCTTCCACCAGCCGCACGAAGCCGAGGGGTGCACACCATTTCTATCGCTAAGGCATAGCCAGGAAAATGATTGCCCTTGAGTTGAGAAAGGCCCATTGGAATTCATGTCATGCCCTCAGGACATGGAGGTCTTCACAAAGGCAGTATGCAGTTGATCAGCGTTGTTCACATGGTGACTTTCAGGCACAGTGTGCACTTGACTCGTATTCTTATGACTGAGGCAGCTTTAAGCCTAGTGTCATAAAAATAGTAATCAGTTGCACCCTTGGGTCTGCGCTTTGCAGCCGCCAAATTGGCAAATATTGCAGCCAGGCCACTAAGATTGGTATGAAAGGTGAAATTGTGAAAGACTGTCATGCTGTCGTTCAGCCCAACCCTGTCCTCCTCAAGGCAGCAAATGAGCGCTGGCGGTTGAGAGAATGTACCAAAACTGGCTACTTAATATTATATAGCCATCACCAAGATACTGATTAAGCCAAGAAGTAGAACTGCTGAGAGAAGCCAACGAGGCTTCGTTCATTGGATCAATATGCTTCGCCTGAACCAACCTGCCTTTCTCCCAAAGTCTCTCGGCTTTGCACTTTCCGCAAGACGATGTTAAAGCTAGCAACATGATATTGCAGCAATCCCAGTCCAATCTGCCGAAGGAAAGGTTGACCGGAAGTGGCCGTACCTGCGGCGCTGAGAATAGTGAGCTGTTTGTGCGTCTGGGCAAGAGTCTCTTAAAGCCAGGGTGACATTGCCAACAATCAAAGTGCCTTGCTCAACATCTTGTGAGAGAAAATTGCCCTCGCTCAAGCAAAATGCAGCAAATTTTGGATGTGCAGAAAGCATTGTAAAGCACGAACCAGAAAGCGCCCATGTTGCTTCGCCAATCATCCGCTGGCAAGCAAGGTTCACTCCGTTCAGTTCTACGCTCCACATCTTGGAAACGGAAGAAACCCAGCAAAGTCACCAAAGTCAGACAAAGTCAGCACACGCACCTTGGCAGCCCTGATGTTGTACAGCAAGCAAAGCAGGCTGCACAGCTTCCTTGGAGAGCAATTAAGCCAGGTGTCACGACCGGAAGAGGGCGAAACGTGACAAGGCCTGACCCAGGCATGCTAGGCATGTGCAAGCTGGAAACGTGTTGTCCAGCTGCCCTCCAGCTGTGACACATCGAGCTTTGAGCACCCATAAATGACAAAACGGGTCCTTCTACAATCTACGTTTAGAAAATCTGGCAAAGCAACGTCTGGAGAGCGCCAATGACTAGCAGACATGCTCCAAATGGCAACAGCAACCAGGCCTCTTTTGCCCCGCGCCAGCGCGAAAAAGTAGGCCTTTGGACCCCCCTGCCAAGCAAAACAGCCTGCATTAGCCATTCTGGCCAGGTAGCATTTGAAATGCGCGTCGCATCATTGCTACGTTTTACGGAAAGATGATAGAAGACCGTGACACTTCCGTGGCACGGAAACCTGCTGGGATGACTGCTAGCCAGCCTCCCAGCCTCGTGCCCAGCTGCGGGAGCAAACGCAATCCATGCTTTGTTCATTGGGGCAAATAGTGAAAGCTGGTGTGGGCTTGTGGCCTAGAGGGCCTAGAGCCCTCAAAGTTTGAGAAAAGGGACAGCTTCTCGAAGCCAAAGGACTGCTAAGGCCCGACATTGGCTCACCACCTGGTTTGCCGCACTCTTTTGACTGCCTGGCACTCGCGTTGCAAGCCCCGTGTGAAACCGCGTGGCCGGTTAAAGATTAACATGTACCGCACCCGTCCAAACAATCAATAGCTTGACGCGCTCCAGTCTCATCCTCCAGGCCTGCGTGCGGCGAGAATCTTGCTGAAAGCCGGAGGGGTTGGAGGGCAATCCGAATTTGTTGGCCTAGAAGTCTAGAAGGGTCTTATTCTGCCGCCTGAACGCAATTTCAGGGTTTGCTTGTCATATTTCAAGATTAGGGGGGGGACAGCATTTTGCACCAGCATCATCAACACAAGAAGTATATTGCCTCAGCACCGCTGGAATACAGCTTTAAAGGAGGGCTGGGCTTTATTAAAGCTTGTTGCTTTTGCTATTTGTTGTTTTTGGGTGGCAGCTCTGGTCGTTGTTTGGGGGCTGGTACGGCGGTTGTTTTTGTTTCAGCTCAAACCGGTCCTAAACTTACACAAAAGCCACCCTAACCAAATCTTAGACCAATCTTAAGCTAAACCCACCCTAAGCCAACCCTCAACCTAAGCCCACCCTCAACCCCTAAACCCGCCTTAAACCCACTTTAAGCGACCTGAACCGATCCTAATAGACCCACCCAAAAGCCCCCTAAACCACCATTCCACCATTAACCCTAAACCTAACCAACCCTAATCCAATTGCCTCAACAAATGCGAAAACATGCCGCGGAGCTTTGATCCTGTTCCGAGGATAAGGGACAAAAGCCCTGATTCGTTCAACCTTCTTGTCGCGTAGTATGCGTGTAGAAATAACATAAACTTAAACATATAAGCATTGATGTAGAAAGGCGGATTCATGGGAGTCCCAAACAAACCGTTGAATCTCAAAACTGTTCGATGTGGGCAGTGTTTCACGCCATCTCAGTCCAGAGTGGCCGGATTGTCATGTCTTCCAACATCCAAAACAAAAAATAAAACTGATGTGTACTTTCGCTGTGCTTGCTGAAGGCTTTCATTCCAGAGCTGTCCATCTCGGACTTCCAAGAGAAACAATACATTTGTCTGGCCCACATCTGTGGACCCCTGCATAAAGCCCGGCATCTGCTGCGCCCGGTCGCGGATGCGATCCATTTCCTCCTGAAGCCTCAAAGCAAAGAAGGATTGGAAACTGCAATTCGCTACAGAGCCTCTTTGCATTCAGCATCTTTCGTTGAGAGCGATCGAATGCACTGGCGCTGTTTTGACAAGCAGGCTTTGGCAATGTGAACTGGAAAGCATATCATGAGACTTATGGCTTGAGCTGTCCTGCTCTATCAGGTTCGAGTCAATTGGAATTTAAAGATGTCCCCCATGATATGTTGGAATGTCACTTCTGAAGTCACCATATATTGCGAACTGGCCCGCAACACGCGGGGTTTGCCGTCATCCCATTCCGGCAAGCGTTCTCTGACACCCGCTGCAGTCCGGGAGGAGGGAGTGTTTCTTGCTGGTCGTTGTTGCTTCCGACAAATACACTTTTGTACCGGTGCTGGGGGCTCTATCAGTGTCATCAAAACGTTGGTGATGCGCAAGTGAGAACAAACAAGGAGGTCTGGGAAGCCCCCAAGTACCTTTTACTCCTAATACGTGTGTGTGTGTGTGTGTGGTTGAATGCTGGTTTAAAACACTGGCAGACAAACGAGTGGACCTGTGCTGCGAAGCGAGGCCGAAACCTGCGTCACACTTGCAGCCCTCGCCAGGCCGCATGCTGTGCCCCTTCGACCAGTCTTCAGCATCATCCACGATTGAAAGCAACACGCTTGGACTATCAAATGATGCTCCCTCCATAAGCTTGAAAGTTTAATGGCATGGCTGCTTTCAGCTCCTATCATAAGTGGTGCTGATACATAGCATCTCCAGGAGGTTGATTGGCAGTCCTCAGAGGGGTGTAAGCTCAACCAGTGTAGGTGCGCACGAAGTATTTTGCTAGTGTACATCTGATGTTGATTGCCACGGTTTTGGTCGAAGCCATGGCACTTGCTGCCAACAGACCTGCCAGCTGCAAGTACCCTACAGGCCGTCCTCTGTTTTCGGGCCGGCCCTGAGATCCCAGGCCTTGACTGGGTGTTGGGATCCAAGGTGCCGCTGCTTACCTTCGTAAGCAAGTCCTGAGAAAAAGACGCCCGCTATGAGATGCTATGCAATGCATGCCATTCCAGCTTCAATGATTCTCAAAACACCAAAACAAAATCCAAATGCAACTGTCGACTTAGTCGCAAGACGCGCATGAAGCTTCCGATGTCTTTGTAATTTCAAAACTCCATCCGTAGCTGAGATTACGCACATCTTGTGCCAACGAAAGGCCGTTAAACAAGATGAAAAACAGTGTCCTTGCTGTGCCAGTTGCTCCCTTACCTCCGCTTCATGTCCATAAATGTCCATGACGAGAAGTATGCAGGTGCCAAGGCCAGGGGCCGGATGTCAGTTAAACGTTTCTGACAGGAAGGCACTCGTCAGGCCCATGCCTTCAATCGATCGTCTTTTTGAGCAGCCTGGCCATGCACAGTTGACTACACCAACTGGGCAAAACCAAATGCACTTCCCAACTGAAAAGTGCAAGGAGCTTCACTACAGTCCGAATGACTCCGAATGACTGCTGAACTCCCAGGAGGGCTTGCAAGCCAAGAGCTTCCCGAAGCTTCACTAGGAAGGGCCCTCTCTGGGTGTACCAGTGACATGAGAGCTCCACCCTTGGGCCCTCACTCAAATGTGAAGCGAGGCGCCTTGATGATGCACTGCGCCGCTTGCTGCGAATCTTGAGGGATGCCATCGCCCTAGCAAAACAATCTGTCACCCTAGAACTTTGCGAGCATGATGCTGTTGGAGGTCTACAGCAGGAGACAAAATTTACCTTAAAGCCCCAGCATGACGTAAACAAAACTACCTTTTTGCCAGGTAGCAGCAGCTTGCAAGGTGCAATACATGTGCTTTATCGACCGAATTCTCCTAGAGGAGGTCCGGCTGCATACGCTCACAAAAAGCACTATGCCCAAGCGCAGCTCCTCAACCAGCAGCAGTCAACCCCTTGCTTAGGCATCCCTCGTGAAGTTGCATCAAAACTTCAACTCAGCCTTTTGCAGCAAACCATGGGGCTGCTTAGAGACAGCCCATTCAAACACAAAGCCAATAGCTGCATCGTTGATAGAGATAAAGTTTGGTCAGTTGGAGATTCTCTAGCACGAAGAGCTTGCCAGGAGCGCAAATATTGGTTGAGTTGACGAGTATCATTAGGAAGCATTGCTTCTTCTGAGACCCGCACCGTCGCAAACATTCGGGAAAGGTTCATGAGCGCCGCCTCATGGCCGCCCTGCCATCAAAACTGTCAGACACCAACCAGGCAAGCAGTTCTGAGTTGCCAACCTGACCCCTGACCCAGCCTCGCCAGCAATCCTAAAATGCCGCGCCGCTGCTCTCTTGTCCTGGCGTCCAAACTCGCATATTTCTCCCTCAGCCATTTCGGTTACAGCCGGGTTTCGAGCGAAGCTGAAAAAAGAATTGACCATGTTTGGGCACCTACCCATCCCCTCTTTTCAATTTTCTCTCTTCCCTAGGCCTGAAAGAATCAAGTGTGACACTGGATGGCGCCTCTCGGAGGAAAAGCATCGCCCCTGTTTTAATTTGGTTACCATTACAGGATGTCCCATCATGCTGTCATGGTTTACTGGCTGAAAAGTCGTAAACTTGTGAAATGTGGAAGCGTTGTGAACTTGTGATTCGAGGAGTTGAAATGAAACTCATTCAACACCGCCTGGGCGATGCGCAAGCCCCACCTACTTCGACGCACATAGCTCACAACTCTGGCTTTGGGAAGAATCGGATCTCGACGTTTCGCCGCTGCACATTCTTCGGATGCTTGGGAAAAGGTGCAAAACAAGTAAATAGGGAGGCGGCTCTGCGTCTTCAGCAGGACTGTTTGGGTGGGGAGTTATTTCCAGAAAAGGCGGCTGTTGACGCAAATAACATAACTCCAGCGTTCATTCCCATCAAGAACATGCATTTAACGGAGGCTATAAGCGAACTAACTCTGGATTGAATCATGTATACATCCTCTTTCACTCCTTGTTGGTGAAATGCTGTTCTTCAACAAGACCATCGTTTGGTGATCAGTAGGGCTGCACGTGAGAACGCAACGTGCTTGGAGGCAGGACCTGTTCAATGCATTCACGCCTGGCGCGCGAACACGCGCAACGAGTTGGGCGGTCCAGCTCAAATCCGAACTTCCCGCGGAGCTTGCACACTCCCAGGCTGAAGTGAGCCCTGGAGTCGCCACCCTGGCAATTCGCAGACCGGCACAGCTCGGCTTGTGAGTGCGAGATGCCAAGACGTGGAAAGCAGTTGAAATCCTCTCCTTGATGTGCCCAAGCGTTTGCGTGTGTGTGTGTGTGTCGGTATGTCTGTGGCTGTGACATGCACCCCGGTCCAAATCAGCCAGAACTGCATCGGAGTTCTGTCAATGCGGAAATCATGGCGTGTGCACGGTGGTTGACAAGTCTCAGGATACTCCGAGAAGGAACAAAAAAAAGGAAGCGTCCTAAAAGCAGAAGACTAAAAGAGCGCTGAAAGTTCCACGAGAAGGAGGAGCAGCGAAGGCAACAAATCTCCAGTCGAAGTAGAAATCAAACTCATTTCCATGATTCGTGCAAGTTTCCCCTAAAAGAGCCAACTCAGATTAAACCTTCGCATCATCATCATCTTCTTCATCATCATCATGGTCATCATCATCATCAGCAGCATCATCATCACCACCACCACCATCATCATCATCATCATCTTCATCATCATCAATCATTAACAATCCTAGTAGCAGCCCAAAGCTGTGCTTCATTCTCCGGAATGTTCAAACTTGTCAAAACTTGTAGTTAAGTTGCCACGGACATTGTTGCAAACATTGGGTCCGAGATAAGAATTCATCAAAACTACGCAACATGCTAAACAATGGAGCCACCACTCAATGTGGCGATACTCGCTGAAGTGTCTACATCACCCAAGAGCAACGAGAAGCTTCCTACCAAATCACAGAATTGCGAAAAGCAATCACCTGTGGCAAACTCCCCCTCACACCCCACCCTGGCACTCACAGCCGTGACCACTCCTCGGCCCCTCTTTCCAAGTGGTACCGCGCTTGCTCCGTGTCTGGTGGCACACCCCACATGCCCCTGGCAAGCAAGCATTTGCGGCAAGCACAGGATAGAGGTTTTGGCGCTGTTCAGTTGACAACGCGTACATATGCAGAATGTTAACCCCCGGAAAAATAAGCGCCTTATTTGATTTACAGCCGAAACCCCTATTTAGCAGGAATCCTTCGCTTTTGCTGGTGACACTTGCCTGCTGTAGGATGGGCTTATCACAAGCCAGGAACATGCCTGCTGGCAGGCAGAATGCCTGCATGGTGTTGACCAATCATGAACTTGCCTAGGCAAAATTGAACTGACTGGCTAGCAAAAGCAGCAACGGCGATGGTGGCTGTTCAATACGGCGACGGCGACGATGAAACGACAAAAGACACGACATGGATACGCGACGCCGGCGACGCCGGCGACGACGGTCATGGCGACTGCGGCTGCAACTCAACAGCAGCGACAGCGACGGCGACGACGACCACTACCACCGACAGCAAAGTTGTCGTAATCATCACGACAAACACCATGCCCAATGAATGCACTGAGGACCACGAGCTCAACCACAACGGAGCACAGAGTATTAATTAAACCTAGTTGGAAACAGCTCAGAGTAGGCAATCCTTGCTTGTCGTGGCTTGGATATTTTAAAAATACAAACTGTGTATGTGTGTCTATATCTGTATCTGTGTCTGTGCATATCCGGGTGCGCGTGGTGGGGGCGTGTAGTGGCGCGTGTGGGCGTGCGTGGGCGGAGCCCCTGGTTCGGTAGTCTGCTCTTTCCCAAACATTCACATTCGCAAAATGAAGACCCCATCCAAGTTAAATGAATGGCTGTCAGAGGTGATGGATGTGACTAGCTGATGTTTGTGGTGCCATTGGGTTGGGCTCTGGGATTCTCCACATGGCATCCCCATAATAAAACCAAATGCTGATCACTTCTCCACATTGTGTCCAGGAAAAACAAACCACACTTCAACAAGATCCAAAGAAATGCGACAACGAGCTTAGGGCCGTGCTGGGCGTAAGCATTGCCCAGCTCGGTGTCAGCTGGCGCGAAGCCCTGCTCCGCTGCCTGCCGGCTGCCAGCTCAAGTGCCAAAGAAGCCCAAAGACAACCCAAGCGACCCCAATCTTTGAGATAGCATTCACATCCCAGGGCTGCAAACATGAATCCACGATAAACATTCCTCACCAGTCTCTGTAGCGTTAACGACCTCATGTAAATGATTTGGTGGCAAAAGAACGCACTACAAAGAGAAAAGTGTGCCTGTTTGCAAGTTGCGAGCCCACAAGGCAGGAAAGGAACTCATGCAAGGTTGGTACAGTCTGTAATTGCTCACGCGCAGCAACAAGGAGAAGACCTTATCAAACATGTTCTTGCTTGCCTACGGAGCACACGTTGCTTACACCTCTGCATCTTGACCGCCTGCTGCACGCACTTCACACCTTTTGCCAGGTCAGACCTGGCGTCACTCGACCACAGCAAGTGGCTACGGCCAAGATGGAGAGCGAAGCCACATGCAAGAAAGATGCTGTCCCTTTTGAGCTCTTGAAGGAGCTTGAAGGACCGGCTCCATTCTTGCACTGCCAAGACAGCCCAGGCTGGCCCCGACTTCAGGCAGTTCATTCCTTCAGCATAGAGCGCCTGGATGTGAATGGCTGGGTCAAGTGAGAAGAACCAAACAGTTGCCAATACTTCCTGCTTGAAACCTCAAATCATAGGATCTGTGCAAATCCCAATGCTCAGCTGTGCGGATGATAGACACCTTGTGACTTTTGAGCTTTGCTTACGTCGCTTTGGTGCGGCGGCCATGGAAAATATATTCATACTTCGTAAAGGTGACTGTGCGGCTGTCGACATTGAGCAGCCACAGGGTCTGCCCAGTGGCTACTCGAGCACAAGTCGGGTTAAGACTCAACCCCCCCAATTGCACAGTGCTTCGGGCTTCTCAGGAAGTGGCACATGACTCACATGACAGGTACTTGTTTCTGCTTGATTTGGATGCTGACCATCTCGCAAACCCCGCAGCGCCTCGCCGCTTGCACGGCCCACTCTGCTGTGTCTTCCCTGGTGCAAACAGGGCGGTGCATTCCAGATTGGGCACAAGCAGGGAAGGCCTGCCCGAAGTGGGCGCCAGACACGAAGGCCTCGCCAAAGCAACCAAAAATAATAGAAATGTCACGAATCAGCTGCCAAAAGGAACCTTTGACGCCCAAGTCTAGGCCTGAGCCGCGAAAACTAGCAGCGGCGCTAGTAAGCACCTGGCATCTTCGGGCCCCTCAGTTCCGGTTCCATGAAAGGTATGTACCCATATGGGTTCTCGTTCATGGATCTTACGAACATTTTAGTCTGTCTGATTCACTTTTGACATGTGCTATCAGCATCAAGCACTGCGGTCGCACCTGCGGATGCTGCGCTCCTGTACCAAGATCCCACGCATGTCCCGCCCTGAGGCCCAAACTCAGACCCCCCCCCCCTCTACTTTGCCATTCTTTGTTTCAGAACATCAGGTTTAACTTAAAACACCGCCTACGTCCATTCAATGCACCCAAAGCTCCATCAACGCTTGATCAGTCCCCAGTCCCCAGCACATTTTATTGGCAGATTGATGGTGTGTTGATGGCAGCAATCTTGACAACGTGGGTTGCTGCTGTGCACGACGCGCCTGCGGGTGGCGACTGCAATGCGACCAAGCCATATTTCACCACTCAAAAAGGGTCTTAAGCAAGCCGTTCACGAAAAAGACATGCCTCGACTTTGTCTTTGCCCAACAAATCGTGCAAATGTGGTCTGTCACCAGAATTAGTGGCACTGTGAGGATGTTCAAACAGCTACATGTTGCCACCAATGCAATGTTTTTGCCTTGATGAATACACCTGAAGAATGCAAACGAAGCTCAACCAAACAAAATGACATTGCCACCATGCTTGACACAAGTCAGTGTTGCATTGGCTATGTTTCAAACACGCGAATCAGGATGAGACCAGCATGAGCCAAACGCATCCGTGCTTCCCCTGGGGAAAAAAAACTCTGAGTGGTGAGAAGGGAAACACGTCATTGCCAAAAAAACATTGGAAGGTTCGAACCCCAAACATTACTTGTCAGCGCGCAACACCACGATGAGTCTACGTGCTTGGTTTTGCTCCAACTGTCTCAAGCTATCTGTTGCATCAGTTGTAACAAACGAACACTTCTGACCGCTGACTGACGAAATACTAGTCTTTGCAATTCCTGCGTTCATCAAGCTGTTGCAAAACCTGATAGAAACAACAAACAATCAGCGCTGCAAGGACTATTCGTATAAAGGTCAAAACCATTGCTAGGTAGAGCACACCTTGAACTTTTTGGAGCAACAAGCCACGCGAGACAACTAGTAACTAGATCCAGTCTCCAGGCGTTGTGCCAGGAGATTGCAAGCGTTGCAATCCGTTCTAAATGAAGTTCATCAGCATTGGTGCTGGGTACAAGGCGCATAGTCAGGCAAAGTCAACATCAGCACCGCCGACTCCACCATAAAGGAAGACTCGACCCTGGGCAACCACAGACACTGTACTCCAAGAACATCCGAGACAGCAAACCGCCGACAGGAAAGGGGGAAAAGGATGGCCAAGCACGAGCTGCCTAAGGCAGGGGCCACAGGCCCAATGCAATGCAGTGGATGAAGCTTTTCAGGGCATAGACCCGTTTCTTTTCAGCCCGGCCTCATGCCAGTGTATCTGAAAAAGAAAGGATGGGAAGGCCCAAGTTAGATTGCAAAAGCAGATGCAATCTGACCCAAAAGGCCCCCCCACGCCTTGAAGAGGCATCTTAACATCCTTGCCCACGACCCGCAACTACCAGCAGTCTTCTTGTGCTTGCCTTGTTTGGCAACCCTGACCGAATTGGTTCTTCCGGCAGCCTTGCGCATATCTGCCAAAAAGCCCTCGCGCACCTGCCACAACTTGTGGATGATCCCTTTTTTAGCAGGGAGTCGTTGGCCCTGTTGTTTGTGCAGCCTCCACAGTTCCATTTCCCTACAGTTGGTCAACGTGGAGAAACATCCGAAAACCCCGTGGCCGCCATGGATGCGAGAGGCGTAACGTCCATTGACTTTCACCGTTCGGCTTGACGAGGAAAGGGGTTTGTTCAGGCTGAACCAACGGTTCTCTGCAGGCAACAAACCCAAGGCGATCTCCCATCCTGCAAAACACCCGACCTTTTTCGCACTTGGACGTCCGTCCGGAAACATTCTTCCAAGGAGGGCACTCTTCTTTGCTGAAAGCTTGCAAAACACCAGTGAAAGACGCAGATGACAAAAGATCTTCAGAGCCTTTGCAATTGCCTGCAGACTGAACGGGAAGAGACTTGCCAACGCCATTTTTTCCCAATAAACGAGGGCAAACCCAAACGAATTCCCTAATTACAGGCAAGGCACATGCAGGTATAACGAAGGGGCCAGGTGCAAACAGCGCTTAGCCATGTGTTTCCACATGCCCATTTTTGCCGCAAGACGCGAACAAAAAGAACGACCAAGCGAAAGGTCGACGCAAGACATTGGTGCAGAAAAGCGGGCATCCGTTTTTTCAAGCCTTGGAGCAAAAGCAAAATGGCAGAGTGCCAAGTTGCCCCCATCCACCAACGCTTAGGGTTTTCTGCTCCCTTGTGTTTAGGGCCTGTTGTGAATCTCGTACGCGGTGGCCATTTTGGCTCAAGCCTTAACTCAAACCTTTTGTTTCGATTGAAATTCCCGCCTTCGGCGCCATGGACACCTTGATTTACCTTGTTGTCAGCATCGTTGCTTACACCGCCTTTGTGTGCTCTGTGACGTTGGGCTGTTTTTTTCCGCCAGTTTTTGCACGCCTTTTGCAACAAGCCTTGCCATGCGCCTTCGGCCAATGCTTGCCGTGTCGGGCCCGTGCACACCTTCCCCAAGCGCAAAGTTAGCCAGCAAGGTATGACCATTTGGCGCACACAGACCGCCACGGCCGCCATGGAGCCCGAGCCCAACTCCTAAAGTCCGCCCTGTTGCATCGGCGCCTTCGCCTTCAGACCCGGCAGAACCGGGCAGTGGCGAGCCAGCGGCTCGGTCCAAGCCGAAGGCCATGCCCAGGGAGCTTGTTCGTAAAAATGCTCAGAAGGCAAAGGCGCAAAAGCTTGTGTCCGTGGCAAACCCCGCGCTGCAAATGGAAAAGCATTGGCTTTCGCCATGGAAAGGTCAATGCGAAGGCCGGCCCATGCTGAATGCATGGATGAGGCCAAAGGCGAAGGCGATTGCAGGGCGGCCGCGGCCAGGTCCCGCATGAAGCGGGCCGTTTCCATTGACACGCTCTTCATCCGAGGCCGACGCAAATCAGCACCTGGGTAAGCTCCCAAAAGCTGAGGCTCGTCAGCGCAGCCGTGCGGGTGAACATGCAATTTCTCTGCTGCTGGAGGCTGCACCAGCACGAGCTAGACGCTGTCAGTAAGGAGCTCCCTGCCGAATGACAAGCTGCACAGGATTTACGCGCGGGAACCTCACAGTTTCCTCTTCGTCTACTACCTGAAGTCAAGGAATGAAATGTTCTACAAGCGCTTCAAAGAGTTCGCACTTGAAAAGACGCCGATGGGAGCGGCGCTCAGTCCTGGGCCAGAAGCTGTTCGCCAGCTCCACGCTGATCAACGCGAAGTGTGAGAACACCCTCCGTCGCAGGACGTGTCCGCCGGACGGGTGGCTTCCAAAAGAAAAGAATGACGATGATCGGACAGCAAGAGAGTGGTCAATGCATGCATCCTAGTGGAGAGCCCTTGTGCGTGCTCGTGAGTCATGCTTGTGCGTGCGTGCTCGCGCGTGCTCGTGCGTGTTCATGCGTGTTCCTGTGACGGGCCGAGATCCTGCGAAGCACGATACATTACAAGCTCGTTCAAAAACATTTAAGAAATTTCAACAAATCAGAGCACCCCCCAGCATTCTCACAGCATCTCCAGCGGACGAGAGGCGCCCCGAGCAACAAAAAAACACCGTCCCGCGCGGAACACCGTGAAAAAAACACGCAAAAATCATGCAAAATCATGCCAGGCCAAAATCAAGCAAAATCGTGTTATGCTAAAACCATGCAAAATCATGCAAAACAACTCTCTCTTTAGAGGGGGTTTCCCAAATGGATTCTATTCTACCTGAGAGGCTCCTAGCACTCGTCCGTCCAGGAAATGACCTCGTCCTGCGAAGGATTCGAAGTCTAAAACGCTGCGTGCAGGCGTGTGGCTGCAAAATAATGACCCCTAGATATGCTTGCAATTTGGCTCCAGGTTGCATTTCAAGCGAGCCAACCTTTGCAGGGCTAAGAAAAAAACAAAAAACAGAAAACAAGGGGTCCCAAAAAAAGGGGTCCCAAAAAAAAAGGGAAAAGGGGTTTCCTTTGGCAAAGCTTGACCTCGCTTGAAATGCAACCTGGAGCCAAATTGCGGCGCATATCTAGGGGTCATTATTTTGCAGCCACACGCCTGCACGCAGCGTTTTAGACTTCGAATCCTTCGCAGGACGAGGTCAAATGCTGGACGGACGAGTGCTAGGAGCCTCTCAGGTAGAATAGAATCCATTTGGGAAACCCCCTCTAAAGAGAGAGCTTGCCAATAATGATCCATGGTTGACTCTTGTTGCCGCAATATTGCAACAAAAGTGTACGCCAAGCCGCTGAACCCCCACAGTCTCCCGGCTCCTTGCTATACGTGCTATCTGTGCTATATGGTATGGAAGCCCGGTATCGAAGCCTCCTGCCCGGCATTGAAGCCGCGCCAAGCCGCAGAACCCCCACAGTCTCCGGGCTCCTTGCTATACGTGCTATATGTGCTATATGGGTCTTACACGCCAAGCCGCTGAACCCCCACTCTCCCCCAGCTCCTTGCTATATGTACTATATGTGCTATATACTTATTCTGTACGCGCGAAAATCTGTACTATATGTGCTATATGGCCCTATATAGCACATATAGTACATATAGCAAGGACCCGGGGAAAAATGACCATATAGCACATATAGCACGTATAGCAAGGACCCGGGGAAGAGTGGAGGTTCAGTGGCTTGCCTTGTGAGACCCATATAGCACATATAGCACATATAGCAAGGCCCCGGGGGACTGTGAGGGTTCGGCGGCTTGGTGCCTGCCGCGCTACCTGCCCGGCATAGAAGCCTCCATCCGGCCGCGCCACTTGCCCGGCATAGACGCCAGCGTACGCGCCGCGCGCATTCTTGTTTCGCACGATTTTGCATGGTTTTTGACATGGTTTTTGCATGGGTTTTGCATGGTGCGGTTGCATGACATGATTTTGACATGACATCTTGTTTTTGCATGACATGATTTTGAATGACATTTTGACATGTTGGTTTTTTGCACGGTTTTGCGTATCATGTGGTTCAAGCCCTAATGCCCCTCCCCCTCACCCCCCCTACCTTTTTTTCCTGTCAGGTGTACATCCCGGAGAACTTCGCGGGGCACCTAGGTAGACGCGCCGAGCAGGCACTGTGCCGAGCGGGCACTAGACGTGCCGAGCGGGCACAGTGCCGAGCGGGCACCGTAGGCACCCCGGGCACCGTGGGGGTGCCAGTGCCGAGCGGGCACTTGCAGTGCCGAGCGGGCACTTGTAGGCACTACGGTGCCGAGCGGGCACCGTAAGAGTGCCAGTGCCGAGCGGGCACCGTAGGACGTGCCGAGCGGGCACCCGGTGCCGAGCGGGCACCGTAGGCGCAGCGCCAAGCAGGCGCAGCTTGGAGCAGGCG